CCTATAAATATAGGCACATAGATCTATTTCCCCATCATCATATATAAATATATTTTCATATGTACATTCAGACAGGGAAAGATATGACAAAATAATAATTTATAAATTATCAAGGGCTCAAGAGGGAGAGGGGAGCAGGGAGGGAGGGGAAAGATGAGGACCTAATGCCAGGGGCTTAAGTGGAGAGCAAATGTTGTGAGAATGATGAGGGCAATGAATGTACAAATGTGCTTTACACAATTGATGTGTGCATGGATTGTGATAAGAGTTGTATGAGCCCATAATAAAACGATTAAAAGAAAATGAATAGAAAAGTCAGACTTCAGATACACACTACTGAAACCAACCACCCAAACGCAAGTAATCTGTTGCTGAGGGTAAACAAAGCTCTCCCTGGAGGGTTGCCTAAGCTCCGCCCCCCCCCCCCCACACACACAGAATGGGTAGGAGTGAATTGAGCACAAGGGGGAGCATAAGAACAAGAAGGTTTAGCATGAGTTAATGGCCCAGTGGCCACCAATGTCACCAGCATCCGCGTCACCTGGGAGCTTGTGGGAAGTGCAACTCCTCAGATCACTTCAAGATGCCCAGAAGCAGGAACTCTGCTGGTGGGCCCAGCAGAGGGCGCTTCAGCAGCCCTCCTGTGACTGGTGCTGGCCGAGTTTGAGAACCCCTGGTAGTTCTCCATGGTGAGTGCCAAGGGACAGAATGCCCACAGGGGAAACCACGGCGGGGGGTGGGGAGGGTGTTCAGAGAGCGATGGGGCTGGAAAGATGGTCAGAAGGCATATTAGAAAGGGCTTCGTATATTATGAAAAGAATTTTGGATTTTACCCAGGGAAACACAGATCCGCTGCTCAAGTATTACCAAGAAACGAGTAACATCAACAGCAAATAATGCGCTGACTAACCCCGACGAAGCACACGATGCTGGTGGCGACAGACACGACATGCACCATCCGAAAGACCGCCTCTTGTGGAGCGGCGCAAGCCTCTTCCCCAAACAGAGACGCCTTGGACCAGGCGGAGACCCAGGCCTACCTTTCTTTCTGCACTCTTTCTTGGTGCTGGTTTTCACAGCGACTTGAAGCTCGGTCTCAGTTGACATCCTACTAAATCCTTAGTCCACTTCACACAGATCCCGGGCCTCGGCCAGGCTCATGGAGGACTCCTCTCCAAGAGAACCGCTCCTCCCTTCAGAAAGGACTCCCCAGGCGGCTCATTTCATTCACTCCTTCCGAGGGCTGCGAACCAACCGAGAGAGGCAGAAAGTCAGACTCATGCCCTGGGAAGGGAAGCAGAAATCACCAAGGGGGCAGGTGGTGGTGGTGGGGTGACCTGGCAGGCAAACATACGAAACAGACTGGTAAAGTCAGGAAGCAACTGGCAAGGTTTACAACAATAATAAAGGCATACACGCAGGTAAGCTTTCGACTTCTTTTTTTTCAACTTTTATTTTAGTTTACTTTATTTTTTGTTTTGTTTTTTAAAATTATTTTATTGGGGGCTCGTACAACTCTTATCACAATCTATACATCAATTTAATCAGGCATGTTTATACATATGTTGACTTCAATCTTTTCTAGACATTTACTTTCTATTGAGCCCTTGGTATCTGCTCTTTTTCTTCCCTTCCCTCGCCACCCCCATAACCCCCTGATAAACTGAACATTGTTATTATTTTCATCTTTCACACCAACCGCTGTCTCCCTTCCCACGTGTTTTCTGTTGTTCTTCCCCCGTAGTGGGGTGTATGGTTAAATGTCGATCATTGTGATTGGTTCCCCCTTTCTCCCTCCTCTCCCCCTCTTTCCTCTACCCTTCTGGTACCACTATTCCCACTCCTGTTCCTGGAATCCATGTGTCATGATCTCCCATCCCTGTCTATATTCTGGTCTAGTCTGAATTGAGAAGCAGCACTGGGGTCATGGTAGTGAGGGGTGAGGAAGCCTCAAGGAACCAGAGGAATATAGTGTTTCATTGATGCTTTATTGTACCCTGCCTATTACCAAGTCCCTATGACTCCTCATGATCGCCCCGGTGGTGTGCTTCTTCCATGTGGACTTGCTGCTTCACTCCTGAATGGCGGCTTGTGTAACTTCAAGCCTTTAAGACCCTAGACACTATATCTTTTAATAGCCGGGCACCATCCACCTTCTTTACCACATTTGCTTATGCACCATTTTGTCTTCAGCAATTGTGTAAGGAGCGTGAACATCTTAGACGGCCAACTGGTTAAAACAAAGTGTTCTTGTACTGGGGGAAGGTATGGGCAGAGGCCTGAAGTCCATCCCCTATCTCAGTGTATTGCTGTATAAATATATGTACATGAGCCAATACCTCTATTTTGTGCATTAATGTATTTACATATGTGCACTGCTATGTTGATACCTCCATCCATTGCTTTGCTTCCTTTGACCTTCCTCTGTTTCCTTTGACCTTCCTCCTGCCCCACGGTCACTTTCCCCTTATGTCTACCTCTTGGTACCTCCTCTTAGCTAGAGATCTTGGAGGCGAGGGTGGTGGGGGAAGAGGGCAGTGAGCAGGCTGCACCATGGACAGGGGAACAACGGGGGTGCTGCAGTCAATAACTAGGAGGAAATAGGGATCCGAGGTGGGGTGGGGGAGTGTCGAAGCTTGTGACTTCTAAGTGAGAGGCTGGCACTTCAAAATCCCTCAGAAGACAGGCTCGGGACCTGCTTCCAGAGGGTGCCAGTTTGGAAGACCGGCTGGAGTAGGTTCACCACATACCCATGGGGTGACGTCAATCCGACGGCAGCTGTCTGTTGTGTTTTGCTTGCTTTGTTTTTCATATAGCACAGAGAAGGAGGATCTATACAAGAAACTCTTTCTCAAACCAGCTAACTCACACTGAGAAATTTTTTTAATTTTCCCTGTTTTGTACATTCAAGCAGTAGATGGCACCCAGGACATATCTCAAAGCCAGGTTTCTTAACCAGCTTCATGGAGAGATTTCCAACCCATCCATCAGCCAAGCTTCCTGAGTGCCTTGGGTGCTAGAGCAGATCGTGGAAGCAACCTTGGTCTGTCCCATGGGCAGCAGCAGAAAGGGCGGGGAGCTGATAAACATGAGTAAGGTGACAAATGGGGACAGAGAAGTATTCTAACCAGACAACTCTAATGGTGAACCCCGGTGCCAGCTCTCAAAGCAGGCAAGCTCTGAATGTGAAGTGAGAAGAAGCAGACACACCTTCCCTTCATTCATTCATCGATAAATGCACTGCACAGGATTAGAAAACAGTCATCGAGTTGGTTCCTATTTGCAGTGACTTCGAGGACAGAGTAGAATTGCTCCCCCCTTGGGTTGAATGTAAATTTCAATGGGAGTAGAAAGCCTTATCTTCCTCATGAGGGGTTTTGAACTGCTGACTGGGTGGGTTAGCAGTCCAATACAAAAACCCACTCTGTTCCACACCTCCAACACTGTGCTAAGCGAAGAAAAAGGACAGCAAGGCTAACACAGCCACTTCTAGTACAGCGAGTGGTGAGTATGCATTCCTTAAACACAGCACCCTCAGCCTCTGCTTCACATACACCTCTCCGACCTCATTTCAACAGAAGGAATGAATTACTGAGCCAAATCAGCCCCAGTGACTATCAGATAGTTTGATCAGAGAGTTCTGTTGAAAGTAAACATTTCGCCTCTGATCTATTTATAAAGAGCTTTAGGAGAACGTCACCAGGAATAGACCTTCAGACTATCTAGGCGCGGCCTCGCACATCTCCCAGACATAAAATCACTGATTCTAGGAAAAGCTGACCTCAAATGCCGGTCTCGGCTCAAAACTCATCGCATGCCACACTCTCCATCGTGACCACCGCAGATGGCCTCCCCAGAAGCCTAGTCCACAAACCACATAGGAAGGCTGCATATGGGGAAACGCCACCCTTATCTAAAGATACTTGGGCTTTCCTCATTTTTCATTGATTCTTTAAATAAACCAACTGCTTCTGTATTGTGGTAGCTTGTGTGCTGCTATGATACTGGAAGTTATGCTCTCAGTATTTCAGATACCAGCAAACTCACACACGGTGAAAAGGTTTATGCAGAGCATCTAGACTCCAACAGACGAGGAAGAAAGGCGGGGTGATCTGCTTCCCACACGTAGCCCATGAAAACCTTATGTGTCACAACCTAATTGACGGACTTGCCCGCTCTGAACATGCCCTCAGGAGCACTCCGTAGCTGGTGGAAAACACCGTGTGATGAGACCGCGGGTCAGTGAGGCCCCGCAAGGCCTTTGGTGGGACCACAGCCACACATGACTCACAGAAGCCGGTCGTCATGAGGATGACGCAGGATCAGACGGGTTTTTTTGTTCTGCTGCACAAAGTCACTCCAATAGCAAAGCCTCATCTTCCTCATGAGGAGAGGCTGGCGGTTTTGAATTGCTGACTGGCACAAAGGCATTGCTACTGACCACAAAGGATAGCTGTTTGCTTTCGATCCTAAAGTTTAGGAGGTGCCGGCTACAGCTAAGGACAGTGACAAAGTACATTCTCCGAGAATGGAGCCCATGGAACAATCTGCAGGAGTACAGAGAGAGAACGACTGCTGTCACTCTACTCTAGGCCTGCTATCTGCAGCACCAGGCCACTTGTCACAGCCCCTCCCAACCTCAGTCCCGAAAATGGCAGTCACAAAATCAGCCATGTTTAACATATGGGCACAACTAATCTCAAAGATAATATTGACTGTTTTGATAAATATTTACTAAGGACCTATTATGGGCCAGGTGCAAATACTCATGGGCTCATGTTTGCCAACAGACAGTGTCTGTCAACCACTCTGGCCAGAGGTAAACAGTCACATCCGGATTCTGTCCTCAGAGACACACCCCATCCAGCAGAAAAGGCAGCCAGTAAAGACGTCTAATATAGACCAGAATGAAGGCAAGCAGACACAGCAGGCAAACTGGGGGGACGAAAGAGCACACATTCATTCTGCTTGGACGCACCAAGAAAACTTCAGAGAGAAGCCACACTCTGGAGTTCTGAAGGAGGATGCTAATGTCAACTGGCTAAGTGAAGAGATCAGCAGGTGCTCAATGGACACGACTTGGAATGTACAAGTAAATGCTTACCGCAAGCAGAAGGACCCGCGTGTGCAAAAGTGAGGAGGCTCAGCGTCAACGACCAAGCTAAGTCTACTACAGAGGTGACACACTTTCCCATCTTGCCTGGTTTTCCTTGTGTTGCTACCTTTCTCTGGAATCTCTCTTTGTAACAAAGTTGACCTTGACATCCACCCCTGAGGCTATCTCAGCTACCCCATGCAGAAGACTTTCCGATTCCTCCCTTAAGATGACATCGACTTTTTCCTCTGCGTTATGACGAGTTTGCTTTTATATTCCCTTTTTGGGCCAGTTTTAGAGTTCAGCTTCTTAGAAGGAGACGGAAGATGTTACTCAACCTCTTTGCCTCATCAAACAAACCCTCACTAGTTCATCACCTGTACGGTGGGGATAATAGCAATACCGCTGGCCCTCCGTATCTGTGGATTCAACACTTGTGGACCCAACGCAGGGGGAACAATTGATGAGGGGGTCGGAGCCACTGCTCATACTGTAAGAGGGAAAGGAAAGCACTGTTGTATTAGGTATTACGAGCAATCTCAGGATGATGGGATGCACACACAGAAGGATCTGTGGAGGTGATACACAAATACGGGGCCATTGTAATCAAGCATCTTGAGTATCTGTGGATCTTCGTGACCTGCAACCAGGCCCACATGGAGTTGCAATTGATAACTGCTAATAAAATGATCGCCTATGTTTTCTTACCCAAAGTCACAAGCCTATTACGTGACTTGGGGTCTCCATTATGATTCTTTCACGGCAAGCGAGGACGCTGAGGCAGCTTTCTGAGAACATGTTGCAGGGAGTGATAGGGTCTATGATGCCTGCACTATGCTGGTCTTTCTTACCCAAACCAACCCAACCGCCAGTCAGGGAGTTCTGACTCCGTGCAAGCCTATGGAGGGTTCCGGAGGCTGCACTTCTTTCCAGAAGGCCGAGCCACGGGGGGTTTCAACCACTGGCCTTACAGGTAGCCTTCCTACTCTCATAGGACAACTCCGACAGGGCTCAGTAAACCTAAACACAAACCACAAACATGGCCGTCGTGTGAGTTTGCTGACTCATATCCACCCTGTCGGACAAAGGAGAGCTGCCCCATGCCATGTGGGATTTCAAGACCGTAACTCTTCCCAGGAGTCGAAAGC